CATTGTGAGACTATCAGTTGGTCTGGACGCAGAGGCCCTGGGGCAGCTTTATGTGTGTCGATGCCAATAGCATGACGTCTGGCTCGTCCGCTGCTATCGACACGTTTGGTACTATTGCTGTCTTCTCCGCCTCCGGTATTTGGTAAATATGTCATTCTCTGGTATCGTGTTGCATGTCTGTATCGTAGGTCATTAGTTCATATGTGCATTACATCCGCTTCATGATACATACATGCATCGAAATTATTAGAATATTCATCTAAATTTTTAGCACATGCACCGAATTACACACACACATGCACCGAAAGTATTAGCATATGCGTCGAAATCATTAGCTTTCTCGGCGTTGTAATCTTTCTGCGTCTGACGTACCTCTCACATGCGGGCAAATGTGTCATCTTTGAGGCTACACCCTGAGATCTCGAGAACTAAGATAGCCAGAGACACCAAATTCACAGAGTGTGTTGACATGTACATGAACTCCCTTAGGTCAAAGTTTGAGGTTCGTAAGTCATGAGCTTAGGGCCAAATAAGGTAAAAAAAGTCAAATCCCAGGTTGGTCTCCGAAGTGCCCCCAGAGCCTAGATGTGACCTAAGAAAGGGTCACATGCTCATTTAAGGTCAGTGACCTAGTTTGACCTCTTAAAGGTCTTGGTGACCAAAATCATACAAGACTGCTTTGAGTTTTGCTTTGGAATAAGCGACAAAAAATAGGCTAGGCAGTATGTTTCTAAAAACAAAATGTTGATCTGGGTCATTTTAGGTCAATGACCTATTCTGACCTCTAAGAAGTTCATGGAAGATGTATAATGCGGTTCTTGCTATCAATAAATTTGAAATGAGCACCAGAAACTACCCCATACAGCAAGCCCTAAAGTAAAAATACAGGTTGGTTTTAACCTTGGTCTGACCTGCATACCTGACCTTAGGTCAACGTAATATGCTCATTCAATTGTTGTGTTGCCTAAGAAAGCATCTCAGAGATGTATGGCTTCGTCTAACACTCCGTTGTTGGATCACATTAAACGATTCCCTAGAAATTGCCTTCGCTGAAACCGTGGCCTGACTTTGATCCGCCATCGATCAGCGGCCTTACAAGGTACACCTCAATTTGTGATGTCAGACGATCCGCTATTCAATTATCTACAGCTATGCAAAATTCGGAGCGGCTACGCCGCGCCGTTCGGAAACAATTCTGGAAAAACCTTCGGAGGTTTGATTTGACCCCTACCCGAGCGCACGTTAATCTTCCACTAACCTGCTCGCCTAATCTCGATGCGTTATGGACGTTATCGCTGTGATCAAACTAAAGGAGTGGTGGCGTCTGCGTGAAATGTGATCGGAAGCCGTCAGATTATTACCAGTCAGTATGTCAGAATTGCATGATTATGTTTTCGACGTATGTTTTTCGAATACAGAACAAGTATGGCGGTATTCCCTGCCATATCTCGACAACCTATATTATTTCATTTTTCTATAAAAGCTAGCTTGTCATGTTGGCCAAACAAGGCAAAATAACATTTTTGTGGCCTCGCCACACCTTTCCACATCTGCACAGAGTAAAGGGAGTTCATATCAAAATGTTATTGTAAGTTGCCAAGAAACGTGAAATCGTATGACACGAATCAGTGCTCACGACCATTGTTTTAGAGGAAGTGTTCCAAACCTGTATGAGGCTTTCAACCGAAATAGCCATCTTAACGATCTTTCTGTGCTGTTCACAATCCTGCCATTCTTAAAAGCTAAACCGGTCTAGTTTCTGAGCAGCATGCCTGCGGCAATGGGGAAAGGTATATCGGAGAGAGCATCTCAGTCACCTTGGCACTCATGACGTCATAAAACGTCATTCAAATTCTGCCATTCCATAAGCCTTGTGGCGATCAAGACCAATAAAAATATAATTGTCCACGGGTTCATATCTGACGTCCGCGAGCGCGAATTCCAGATATAACGGCCGTCAATTGGCTATCAATCAATGTTGTGCAAGGCACGGTGACGTAATTAAATCATAACGCATTGAGGAACATATTTAATAAACAGAGAATTGCACTGTCTAAAAACAGTCTTCTCTTCTTAACAAGTAAACCAATAATGATAAGTTAGCCTGTTTCATCATATCTGCCGCTTGTTTAAATACCTTCAAATGCAAAACATTTCCTCTTTTAAGTAGATTAAAAGAAGCACCGAGGTAGTCTTTTGAGTGAACACTCCTGCTTAACTATTTGCGATGTCACATATTCAATATCCGGGAAATATGGGAGAGTTAAAGTGTCGGTCAAGACAAAAAACTTGTCAAACTTTAAATTCAACGTCAAGCTTATCAGATACCCACACATAGGTGAACAATACAGTAACAGAAGGTTGTATGATATTTAGAGTAGAATGGCAGACAACTGGGTCGATGATACGGCTTGGTGATCAAACAAGAAACAAGGCACTTACATGAGGGATGTTAATGTACTTCAAACCCAGAAACGACGGATTACATTCAAACACGGTGAGTCCTTCAGGAGGCAAGAACATTGCATGGGTATTATAAGCCCATGAGCGGCACTAGCGCCAGACATAAATTAAGTCTTGGTACCAGCAGCGCCACTTAAGTTTGCGTGGGAGCGCCCGTGAAAAGAAACTTGCATTTCAAAGCCAGGGCACTGAACTCTGAAAGCACACCTGGCTTACGAGAAAACATATGTTTTTCCTGAAACTAAGCGCTTTTCCGCCGTCATTATCTCCCCATTCAGCCTAAAGACTGCCTCTGAAAAGTTATTTTCCTATGGGCTTACAATGCTGGACTTGCCAAGGATCCCCGCTGTGGCGTCACGACGGGGTTGTCAGATATACTTGGACGCCCGTGTTTCGATAAAGGCATGTAGCTGAAAAATCAATCTGTCCGTCTCTCCATTCTTCTGAATGTTTTACGGGGGATAATGTTATCAGTCATGTCGCATTCATATGCATAATGTTCTTCGCAAACGCACTTAATAACACTCTAGAACCAAGGTGTTGCGTTGTTCTTCTCTTCTCCAGCGGGGTGCTTTTCATCTGTTATGAGCATATTCTCAACATAAGTATGGTTGAGTGTTGCAAGGTTGTAAAGTCCTGAAACAAAGACAATTTTCCCACAACGAGTTACAAAATTACCTGGTTACTGCAATGAGCCATAGTTCGCTAGCCAAGTATATGGGTCTTTTCCATATAGGCAATGCTTTTTGAAAACGTCGCTTTAAGTAAGTCCTGGGAGCACAAATGTGGACTATTGCCAGAAAAAGAGCTCTGCATTCATCATGCCGAATTTGGCAACACTCACGGGCATCTAGAACCACGTCTGCATCCCTACTCGGCAAAACCTTGCACGCAACCCGTCTAACAATTTGTAGAAAGATGGACCAATACAACTCTGTGCACTTAGATACCAAGTAGAAGCAGGTTAAAATCTGCGTTCTTTCTATCCCGGACGCACTAACTCTGCGGCTTACAGCATCGGGTATATTTGCACGCGCAGCGGGGACAGCGCCGCTGGGTGTGCAAGGTCGTCGGACAGCGCGGAAGAACACATCTTCGTGCCCAACCTAAACTTTAAGGAGACCCTTCGAAAGCAATGTTAGGTATGGTGTACAGACGCCCTTCGAAGGCCATGTTAGGTATGGTGTACAGGTCGGGCAGCAGGCACGGCCACGAACAGCGACGTAACGGCGTAATGGCCGAGGGCAGATAGAAAACCACAGTTATAAAAGAATGTGCACGGTCGGGGGTAATCATGCTGCACGAGATCCGTGTAATGAACCAGAGGAGGTCCTAAAAACGTAATGCTCTTAGGTGGCTGGGAGCAGCGATACGACAGCGGGCCCATGTTCCGGACTAGAGGACGCACAGCGGCGCATGCCACTGAAGATAAGACCCATATCACGGGCGAGAGGACGCGCAGCGGCGCGTGCCATGGACGAGAGGACGCACAGAGGGTCCATATCACGGACGAGAGGGCCCACAGCGGGTCCATGTCACGGACGAGAGGACGCACAGCGGGTCCATGTCACGGACGGGAGGATGCCGCAGCACTGTACAGCGAACGGCTCACTCACGCGGGCAAGCTGGTATCTACACAACAGAAGGCTCTCGGCCTCATAGCTTATAACGAGGACCCCCGAGCCAGCAAAGGATCTCCTTAACATGGCACTGGGTGTTCTGATCTCGAGCATCAGCTACCCTACTCATAAATGTGGCGTCATGATCCAGAAAAACGGGACTCTTGATAAAGCGAGTGGTCTTCTGCACCCGATTCGCTATCTCTTGCCCAGTCATGGAAGCCCCCTTGATCCGTATTTTGGTTTTCTATGGGCAGTTACAATGCCCTTAGCTTGGGAAAAGGGGCCTCTTAGTTTTTGTGGGGGAGGGGGAAAAGACACATTCTTGCTTCTCCCACCAGCTGCGCCGCCCCTGTGCATGGGTGTAACCACGTCTCTGAGATCGGGTGAATAACCCAGGACTGAAGGGGACAAGCTGAAATCTGGCAGGAAACCTGGCCTGAATCTTGGCATGAAAAAAACATGAAAAACGTGTTCTCTACAGTCTGAGGCTGGATGATGCAAAAACACGTTTTGTGGAAATTGGAGGTGGGAGGCATGTTTCCCAAGCCTTCGAGCTGTTACACCCATGTGCATGTGTGTAGTCCTTCCACTTAATTCTGCACGCGCTTAGCATAACACAGTGATGTCCTATTGTTTGGCAAATAAATGGCAAAACAGGAAGGGCCCGGGGCAGCAAAGGCTAGTATGTTGAGAGGCCATTAGCGAGAGCGGACTGCCCGTACGCATGAGGCCTATGAAAACCGGTCCGCTCAGCCTTCAAAAGGTTCACGGCGCCGCCGCTGACGCTGGGGCCGCCAGGCACGTCCCAAGATCTATTCTTCCTCCGCCTGTGTGCAGGTAAGTGTCTCACTCACCGTGCGCTGCTCACCGCACCCTGCTTGTACGGCATGGCCAGTCACGCAAGCATCTTTTCAGCAACACGGGCAGGGACGAGATGTGCAACTTCTACCTGATGTACTGGTCGGAAGATGGCGCGCTGAACATGCCCAACTGCTTCCGGGAGGGGCCACCACAACTCTACTGGACCAGCATGGGCTTGGACAACATCCCCGACTACGAGGCGTCGCATCTGCCGCTGAAATTCAAAGAACTGGTTCGCCAGCATGGCCACCAACACCACGGCTAAATAGACTACTCCGCAGTTCGATGCGGGCGATGGTATCAGTGGGATCTCCGCCACATAACAGGCAATTAACCCTTTGTACTCAAAATTGAAAAAGGCGCATGCCTCTATAGGTTTCATGTTACCAAGAGGCGTGGTCTCGGATGTATTATGTTAATTTGAAAAGGTAAGATTTTCTGGAAAACTGGATCTTTGACTTGTCATATGGGGTCAATTATTGACCTAACAATTCTTGTCTGCTGAGCTCTATACGCATTGTTTTCAAAACGCCAGGGGAGTCGCATCAACCCCTTATCAGTCCGCATTTTGAAAAACGGCGAGTAAGGGCGAGGGTCAATGCCCATTCACGTCCTTCCGAAATCAAGGAAAATTTGCTAGTTTAGTTTAAGGCTGGCACAGTTTAGGACGTTGGCATTGTGACGGGTAATGCCTTTTGGTATCGTAAAGAGACCGCAATTTTTTGTTTTTTTTCAAAGAACACCGAACCTGATTTTATATCTGATATGGGACCAGGCATCTTGTACTTATCTCTTGCCGGTTAGAAAACAACTGGCAACGTCTTTTTGGTGACAACACTGATGTCCTCGAATTACTCGCAGCTTGCACTTCACCGTAGTGATATGCCCCTGGTAAAAACAGTGGTGGTAGGATTGAATGCTTTAAATAATGAAATAGGGTGCTTAAGACCGTACAGATTCTTCCAGTGCATCAGTGAACCGTGTAGCTGATCATTTGTTGTTAGTTAATGTTAAAGTAATACCTCTTGTTCTGCCCAATGTCGAGGATTATCAAATGTGTCATCGTGCTACTGTTTCCATGTGTCCATGCTCGGGTACTGTTATTCTACTGACTCTTTCACAGCAGGTGCATGATTTGCTGCCATCACGGACAGGAGAGCAGCACTAAGCTGAAAGTAGACGTAGCCATTCGCTGCTGCAAGATGTATATTTTTCTGCGGTTCTAGTCTAAAATTCATATCTGTGAACACATTTATCGCTAAGAACGGACGGATGCAGCGGTAACCCTATTTTTCTAGCCCGTACTGATGTGGAGCATAGCGTCCGGCGGTGCATGGCGTGTGTTTGTGGGTAGTTATCTCCATATTCTGTGTGGTAATTCAACCCAAAATTTGCAATGCCACGGTTAGTTTCCTTTATTAAACGGTGAGTTCTCTACGCTAAGAAAATGTTTGGAACGTTTTATCTATCACTGCATGCATTGAAAACATTTTTTTAAATAAAAACTAGAGCATGCGGTCAATTGTGTCAACAAATTGCTGATGTAATATTTGCACCCATTATAATTTTTTATACAGTTATCTGCACGACATGCAGCTTACGATAAGATATCTAATTTAATGATAGGTAGTGAACAAGTGTTGATGCCATGTAACACAATGCTTATACGCATGTCTGTGTCTGATGACACAAAGCCGGAAACCGAAAAGGTGTATGGTATGGTTACATAAAGGGCTTACCGTTCAACAATGATGCATGTTACTCGTTGAACATGGTGTTCTATCTAACAATGTATCATAATTTACTATCAATTTATTCTCAAATATACGATAGCAAAAATGCATCCATGTACTCTGACCAACAGCTAGGTGTGCGCTGTTACTGATAGCTCTCATGCAGACGACCTGAGCCAACCAAGTACCAAGGCGCACCACTCAATTTAAAGGAATTCCATAAAGAAACATTGCCGACTTTTTTACAGGGATCGTCGAACTGGACAAAGCTGAACGTGATCACAATCAACTTAACTTGTTTAGAAGGATCTCACCTACGATCTCAATAGACGAATTTCATTTAAACGCAACTTGTTGGTTGTCAGACCTCAACGTGTCTTGCAATGTCATGACGTTACCACCGCATCGCATCAGCGCCACCCTTGGCCAGATGCCAACTGGCCGTCGCAAGTGAGCCACGTCAGCCTGGGTTCCAGGTCACCCTTGGCCAGATGCCAACTGGCCGTCACAGATGAGCCACGTCAGCCTGGGTTCCAGGTCAGCCTTGGCTAGATGCCAACTGGCCGTCACAGATGAGCCACGTCAGCCTGGGTTCCAGGTCACCCTTGGCCAGATGCCAACTGGCCGTCACAGATGAGCCACATCAGCCTGGGTTCCAGGTCACCCTTGGCCAGATGCCAACTGGCCGTCACAGATGAGCCACGTCAGCCTGGGTTCCAGGTCACCCTTGGCCAGATGCCAACTGGCCGTCACAGATGAGCCACATCAGCCTGGGTTCCAGGTCACCCTTGGCCAGATGCCAACTGGCCGTCACAGATGAGCCACGTCAGCCTGGGCTCCAGGTCGTGAACTCACATATATTCCACTTGCCGGAGCGTTTGGTTCTGTACCAACTGAGCTGCAGTGATGGATATCATACCACCAGCGATGCAGAAATAGAAACAGCGGTACTCTGCGTTTGGCCCGAAATAAAGTATTCTGAGCTCAGCTTCTCAGACGGAGGAACATCCCGTTATGCCGCCAGAGAAAAAGAAAACTTTTAGTCTTCGATGATTGCAGGTCAGTGGGACTATTCCCACTTTTGAAATGTTTGCTTCGATCTGCAGTGCTGAAATGGTGCAGCGTATGGACTGACGTAATGCTCACAGTAAGAGCGTACCAACCTCCAATAGCGCCGCGCTAAAAGCGTAACTGCAAAGTTGTGCGACAGCAGAAAGGCGAACAGCGGCCAAAACTTATGTTGTTTATGCAACAAGCGAGCATGCAGTAACTTTTTTGCAAATGTGACGAAAAAAGTGCTTTCCGTGCGCATACTTCTATGTTCTGAATCACCTGTGTTCCTGTGTCTTGAAATAGATCTATTATTATTCTGGATGGCTGAAGCGGAGGCCTGCTGCCTCAGGATCAGTAGTAATGACTTCGAATTAAGGTAAGGAATTGGAATAACGAATGAATTTATTGACATATTTTCTAGATTTTTCTTCTCTGAAGTTGGAAATAAATGTGATTCCCAAAATGCATCTGTGAAGTGCTGACGCGTTAAGGCTGTACAGGCAATACAGGCACTTCTGCAGTCGTTTTTTTGGCTAACCTTGCCGTACGCTATCGCCTGTGTGGTTGTCATGTCTCGAGATTAGGTTAGAAGCGGAGACCACAGAGATCGGCTAGTGACAGACGACGGGACCTCCTCACTTGCTGAAAGTGGCAAGACGCATCCATTATACTGACATTGTTTTAAGTAAGGTTCCAATGACAACCGATGGCCCAATCATTCTTAGGCCCCCACGGTGTTTCGCCACTGGATTGGCGGAAGGTATCAGGGACAAGCTCCAGAAGCGGATCGGGATAAGAAGGCCAAGGAGGAGGCAATTCCTCCGCATCACCACGTAAAAAGAAATATGAAAGGAAGTTCCACATACGAACATAATTTGGAGCAAGAATTCAGATGGGATGAACTAAGCAATACGCACTGTTTGATTGCGTCATGAGAGTCTGTATGACGGTGGAGTACGGCCAAACATGCCGTTGAAAAATTAGTCACCTACTTGTAGCACTGTCAAAAAACTGGGCAGAGATGGTAGCGGCGGGCTGGAGGTATTTGCTGAACCAAACATTGTCTGTGCTTGTGTTTTGGCCCATTTCTCGTGGTGCTCTTGCATATCTATCCATGAGTTTAAGATGTTTACTTGTAATGACATACTCTGTTATGCGTAATTTCTTAAGCGTTTGGTTTGCAAGTCTGATTTTTGTAGTAACAAGTAAGTAAAGAAACCACGTCCATCTTCTTATATGAAGCGTGAAACGTGCTTTGCATCTGACTCTCTTTCCTGCTTCATCCTGTAATCCTCACGGCCGCCCCCGCGTGCCCGGGGCAGGCAGCATGTGTCAACTACGAGCCGGGTCGAAGAGGCCCCCTGGAGGGGAGCCACTACCGGGCGCTCAGCACATACCCCGCAGAGCGCCTCGCCGCGCGGGCCTAGCTCAGAGGTTGGCCCCCCCATGGCTCAGAAATTAGAGGGTTCTGGGTTTTCCTAGGGACAGGGCTGTGAACTGCAACCTGATGATATCCGAATTGCCAAGTTTAGCTCAAACCCTCGCACAATGTGGAATACTCCCTTTAAAGCCAATATTTAATGAAAAATAAGTGATGCAAATAAACGATCAGGTCACACAATGCTCTATGCTGGAAAACTGCGACATCAAGACCACGAAAAGTTGGAGGCCGTAATGCAACAAAGGAGCATCTGTCATGCACTGCCGTTATCCATGACTCCAAGGCACCTAAATTCGATGTTCAGCAGTCCCCAAGAAAAGAAATAGATAACTGATGCGAAAACAAAGCGTGTGATCACGACTCGACGCCTAACGGACGAAAACTTAACAAGGTGATTACTCGTAACGGAGGCTATCCTCTCTCCCACACCAAAACCCCCGCGGGAGTTCCCAATATTTTTGGAGCTGCTCCCACATCAAGCAAAGTAGGACAATTCTATGTTGTTTTTTCGCACATTCTGCCAGCTTCTTTGTTCGCTCGTTCTCTCCCCCGTCTCCAAATTTATTTTATCGAAGCAAAAAAAACAAAAAAACAAAAGTCCTGCCGACACCGTCTATTTTCCGTCACAGTGAAAAACTGGGAGTATCCCAAAATACAAAACTCAGAAAAAAGACAACGTGCCTGCATATCAATTTGCCTCAAAGTCACAGAGCTCACCAAACATCAAGAGACCCCCAAAGAAAAACAAGGTCACAAGGGGCATGGTGTGATGGTCTGTAGCTCGCTTGAACCCCTATGTAGCATGAGGACCCTCCATGGAGACTCTTATGGGGAGCGCTTACGATCACCCCCTCTCATTGCGAAGACAGTGCCCGCGCGCTATTGGCATGGTCATGTTCCCGTCCTAGAAAATCAGGAGGTGAGAAAACCTTATCTGAATGGTGTTTTTTGAGAGGGAATTATTCCAAAACGTGCATTTTGCCCAAAAAGCTTACTGGGAACAAAATTTGAGGCATGCATATTGGTCCCTCCCACTGGATTCATCCTTAGCCCAACTGTTCTCGGCCCACGGTAAACGCTAAACCTCAGAGAAAGCGGAACGGCTTTTTTCTCTCCTCCGGGGCTTCTCCGGCTTCCGTGACGGCTGTGTTCCCATGATATATATATATATATATATATATATATATATATATGACGTGTTTGTTTAAACGCTAGAGTTGCCTTCCGTCGCGAAAGACGCTATGTATGGCGGCCGAATGTAGCATTTAAGCCCGAACGGACAAGCCGCTGCAGGAGCCAACTGGTCCAGTACGGGGTGAGAGACGAGGATGCAACAGCCATAACCCTGGTGCGGTACCGATCAGGTAACCCTCAGCCGCGAAGGAAGGACTGGAAGCCAATGCTCTGCACAGCGACAGCCATCTGTTGCCAGCTAAGGCCAACTATTCTGCTGTATAGAGCGGAGCTTAACCTGCGGTCTGGTGCCTGGAAAGCTTTGTTCTTTATTGCCATACTCATCTTTGTTCTGATGGTGGATCAGTGTTCAGGCTTCAGTTTCTAGGCGACGGTGCCCTCCATGACGTTCCCGACCACGGCTCTTTGAGCTAATGCAAGAGAAGCGCAGCATCCACTCTATTCTGCGTCTCTGTGACGTCCGTTTATCCGGGGCATGAGTTGGTTCAAACGCCTTTTGACGGGGTCCCGTCCACATGTCGAGCACATACCGCGAAGAGAGGTCCTTGCACGGGTTAGGCCGCGACAGAGGACTCCCAGATGCATGGCAGTTTTTTCCCACAACTATCCACTCTCCTTCATCCAGGGGTGTAGTTTCGTATTCAGCAGGTGACGCTCCGATCCGCTCGGCTCCAACTTGGGCTCCAGCCCTTCAGCTTTGTCCTGAAAGGTCACGATTGGCCAAAAGGTTTTCAATCCAAACCGAGCCAACCGGAGTATCTTTCTCCCTCCCTCTCAAAGAGGGGTTCGGTGGTCCTAACGGCACTGCACCGCCAACGCTGACACCAGACGTCCCGCAGGTTGATGAAGCAGACCAATATGTTGAGCAGTGCCGGCTTCCAAAAAGCAGGCATCCCCAGTGAATTCAGGGAAACCTGGATACGAGGAGATCCACCGGTACGCTAGCAGATACATCGGCTTCAAAGGTGTCGTCTTCGGGTTCGACGGGATTCTGATTTACTAATTCGGGGAAAGCCTGAGTTAGGCCGTCTCTCGGTGCCTTCAACGACATCTCTTTGGAAGCATTCACACGGCACATCGCGACACGATGCGTGCATGCTGTTCGCTGCACGGTGGCTCGCCCTCTGACGATGGCAAGCGTAACGAGCTCGGTGCCGGATTCCGAGATCGAGGATCTGTAGGTGGCCGCGTGGCCTGCGCCGTCCGCAGGGCACTGCTGCAGCTACGCCTGCCAGACCCGACCAACGCCGAGATGCTGCTGATCCGGCTGCAGGATGCATCGGTGACTCTGGCCGTATGTCACCACCCTCCCGAGAGCGACGCGGCAATTGGCCGAATAGCTGCTGCCCTGTCAGCAGTGCAACCGCTGAACTGCAAGGCCGTCGTTGTCGGAGATATCAGCCTCCCTGAAATATACTGG